AGGCAGGGGACCAGGTAGGTTGCGGCGGCCTATCCCAGGAGGCGTGCGAGGGCGGGCAGCCAGGCAGCAAAAGCGGGCACGAAGGCAGCAGCTGATCCCCAGGCGGGAGCGGGCGGGGCCAGAGGCCAGAGCAAGCGCCCCCGGTCCTGCCCCGGGCGCGCGGGCCCTCACTGGGTGGCGGCTGGTAGGTGATGGCGGCGGAGGCCTCGGCATTGAGCGCGCCCGCGTCGTCGCTGGCGGCGCCGGCGGGGATGGTGATGGACAGTTCGACGTCGTCGTCGCGCGTGGCCACAAAGCCCAGCACATACAGCAGCCCCTCAGACTGCTGGTACACGACGTCCACCCTGCAGGGCGGCCGCTGGGGCGGCGGGGCGCGGCCGGCGACGGTCGGCAGCGCAGGGCGGGGAACGCATGCGATGGCGCGCTCCCCGAGACAGCAGCGCCGGGCATGGGCCGCCGTACGGCAAACGGCAGCGCCTGCCTCCCTTCCCCGCCCGCCCAGCAGTCTACCGCACACACGCTGCTTGTGGCCGCCTGGCCGCGCTGCCTGCGCCTGCGGCGCACCTGTACACTCCCGACACGCGGAACAGCGACAGCGGGTTGGGCTGCTCCAGCGCGCGCCCAAAGTCCACCGTCCACAGCGGCAGCGCCGAGTGGGTGGTGGGCCCCGGCTGGTCGCATGTGATGGCCACCTGCAGGTGATGAGAGCGGCGGCAGGCACAAGCGGTGAGGACTGCAAGGGGAGCGGGGGCTGGGCAGAGGGGGCAGAGGGGCACACACGTGTGGCGACATGCCGCCGCCCCGCCCGCCCGCCCGCAACCCCAACCCCGTTCAGCTCTCCGCGCGCTCCCTCGGCACGCTGAACTTACCTCAAAAGTGGCCGCCTCGCTGCTCTGGGTGCTCTGGGTGCTGTTCTGCTCGAAGAGCTTGCGCTTGTTGTTCTGGTAGTCTGGTGAGCCCAGCTCCCCAGCCGGTATCGCCACTGACGCCACGGCAACCGCAGGACTCGCGCAGAGCGCCAGCACCAGCAGCAGGGGCGCCAACTGGGGATGCCACGGCATGGAGTCTCAGCTTGGGGGCGCGCCTAGGCCACTCATGTTTATGCCCGTGCGGGCAGCAAAAGGGCGGGGGCTGCGGAAAATGCTGGCGCCCGGAGGAGGCCGCTTTGCTCAGCGTTCACTGCAAGGCGAGTTCACGAACTCAATTGCCACCCAAAACAGTTGAAAGTGCTTGCAAGAAAGATTTGACCGGGCGCAGGCACATGAGCGGTCTACCTGCACAGCCTGCCCAGGCCAGCGCGGGCACCCGCCTAGGAAGCTGCCCGGTTCAGGTGGTATCGAGCACTCAACCGCCCACCTCTGTGCAGCATAGGTCACCTGCTGGCTTGTGGGTCAGGGTGGCAGGGTGCTGGCGGCCAGAGACAGCGGCCGATGGCAGGCGCCAACGGGGCGCCAGCAACCCTGCCGCCGCTTTGGGCGCTGCGGAGCCTCGATCGCCGGTCCTCGTTTGTGGAAAGCTTGACAGGTGGCCCCAATCCCAAAATGGCCTCCCAGAACACGGCACTGAAGGAGTTGCTCCTCGGCTCGGGCTCCGGCCAGCTGAACCTGTCGGCGGTGAGTTCCCTTCACATGCACAGATGTCATATGAATTGCCCTTCTGGATGCAGTCGCCACCGACGTGCTCGATCAACTTGTGCGCCGAGCTATGCGCGGGGAGGCGCCTTCTGCGGCAGGACGGGCTTGGATGGGTTGCCCCTGCCTGTCATGCACGTCCGAAGCTGTTCCGGTGAGCGTCACTGACGGCCGCTCCCGCCGCCGCACCTGTGCAGGTCCGAGCCCGTGCCGAGGAGTTGAAGCGCTCACTAGACCAGATCATCCAAGGCCTCCAGTTTGCGGCAGACAGGGTGCAGTGGTGCGTGGGCAGCCCTGGCTGCCGCCGTGCTCTCTAGCGTTGCTCGGCAGGAGCCGGCTGGCGTGTGTATGGGCTCACGCCTGGCCGCCGGATGCTCCCTTCAAACGTCTTGCCACACGCCGCCTGCCGTGTGCAGGCCTGACGTGCTGGACCGCTTTGCCGTGATCAACGTGCAGTACCAGCACCTGCTGGACGCGCTGCGCCCGCTGCTGCGCCAGTTTGCCGCCTACCCGCGCTCCGTCAACCAGGTGGGTGTGTGGTGGCAGCCCCACCCCTCCCCTCCCGCTGCGCCTGCCGTCCTGCCCTTGCACCCCTGCTCAGCCGCCTGCCTGCCCGCCCCGTGCCCGCAGACCAACGCCCCCATCCTGCCCATCATGCTGGCCACCAAGCTGCTGCCGGAGATGGAGGGGGAGGAGGCGGAGCTGCTGCAGGAGCTGGAGGCGGAGCGGCGGCGGCGGGGCGGGGAGGGCCAGGCGGCGGCGGCGGCGCAGCTGTCCATGGCGGAGCAGTTTGCGTGGGTGCAGGACCAGGAGCAGCAGCTGAACCACCTGATCGACCAGCTGGCGCGGGAGGAGGGCAGCCCGCTGGGCGAGAGGCGCCGCAAGGAGGTGCAGGCGGCGGCGGCCAAGGCGGCGGCGGCGACGGCGGCGCCCGCCACGCGCCCGCCTGCGCCGGCGGCGCGGCAGCCGCAGCAAGGGGGGCCACCCAGGGGGCCGGGGGCGCCAGACCCGCTGTTGGCGGCGGTCACTTTTGGCACCGGGCTCAGCTGACCGCCTGGACTGGCTGCCTTCAAGGGGGTGCCACTTTTCACTCCACTTTTCCTCGTGTTAAACAAATGCGACAGAACAGGCGGCACGTGGCGACAGGCAGGCTGCTCACAACGGCGGTGCCGACTCCTGCTGCCCGCCAGCCGCCGTGGCGGGGCCGGCGTCGGCGCCGGGCTTCTGCAGGGTCCAGAAGGCGCAGCGGTAGGTTGAGGCCTGCATCATGGAGCTGGCAGGCAGGCAGGCAGGCAGGCGGGGGCCAACAAGGCAGGTGTGGGCCCGCACTGCTTCCCAGGCCGCCTGTGTAGCAACAGCCAGCCGGCCGGCCGGCTGGGGCAGCACGCGCATGCGGAGCGGGAGCGCCTGCCGCCGCTTCTACCACCACCACCACCGCGTCGGCCACCCACCACCCACCCACCGCGGGTTGGCCAGAAAGCCGGCCTCCACCATCTCCTCCCGCACCAGGCGGAAGCCGAGCGCCAGCGCCGCCGCCTTGACCTCCTCCAGGCTCAGCTCCACCGACAGCTGCTCCCCGCCCAGGTAGCTGCGCGCATCCGCCCAGTGGTACAGCAGGGGGCCCAGGCTGACCAGGTAGCCACCGGGCTGCGGGGCGGGGGCCAAACACGCCGCGCGGCGGGGCGGGGCGTGAGGAGGGGCAGCCGCCCACCGCTGCGAGGTGGCACCTCAGGGGAGCCTGCCAGCCCTGCCTGCGCCCGCCCCCCACCCACCCTCAGCGTGTGCCAGATGACCTCCAGATACTCCAGCACGTTGTGGCTGCGGGGGCAAGGGGGGCGGGGGGTGGGTACAGGGCACGGGGAAGTCGGGAGCTGGGCAGCAGGGCGGCGTGCTTGTGCCATGCACGCGCCCCCTCCGCCCAGCGCTGTGTCCCCGCCCGCTTGCGGCGCCATCGCACGCGCACAGGGCAGCAGCGGCGGCGCCGCACTCACGCTGTGTCCAGGAAGAAGCAGGCGGCCACGGCGTCAAAGGCGGCGGCGTACTCGGGCTGGCGGTACACCTCCCCAAAGTCGCCCGCAGACATGCTGAGCAGGCCCGGACCTGCTGGGGGGTGGGGGCAGGGGACGGGACAGGGGCCGGCAGCTGAGCTACAGCTGCCGAAGCGCACCGAGCGCAAGCCGGTTGGCGCCTGGGGGCTGTGGAGCGGTGGTACGGGCGCCGCACCTGGCACCAGCGCCGCGGGGTGCACATCGGGCACCTGCACGCCGCGCAGCTGGTCGTCTGTGCTGAGCTGGTTGCAGCTGTTGTGGCACCAGGGGTGGATCGTCCACTGCGGGGAGGAGGGCATGACGCAAGGGGAGTGAGGCCGGTTGGTGCGGGCTGGGAGGAGGGAGAGGGCAGCAGGTGCATTGGCTCCCAGCTGAGCAGCCAACCAGCGGCGGCGGCAGCGCCGGCGAACAGCGGCATCCCCGCCTGAAGCTCCCGTTCCACGCCGTTGAGCAGGTAGGCGCTGGTGAGCAGCATGAAGTAGGAGAACTCGTTGCCCTGCGCCTGGAAGCCCTGCACGGCAGCAGGGCGGGCGGGGCGGCCAGGGGCGGGGCAGCATGGGTGGGGAGGCCTGGGGGGAAGGTGGGCACCTTGCTGCAACCCTGCCCTCCTCGCTACCACCACCACCACCACCATCACCACCACGCTACCACCACCACCACATGACCACCACCGCACCCACCATGTCGACCACCTCTAGGCACAGCCGCGCCAGCCCCGCCCCCGGCACCAGCACGCTGGGCGGCTCGGCCGCGCCGGCCGGCCACCCGGCAAACAGGCGGCGCAGCTCGCGCAGGATGCGGCCGTATGACTGCGCCCGCTCAGCCGCACCCTCCTCCGACCAGTCGCGCGCGATGTTCTTCAGCACGTACCTGCGGGGAGGGGAGCGGGCAGGCGCGGCACGAGGGGCGGGCGGCGGCAGCGGTGGGGCCGCCAGCAGCGTCTCTGCTGGTGGCGATGCCGGCGGCGGTGGAGGCCAGGTTGGGTGGCCAGGGTGAGCGGCGGTGCTGGAGCATGCCGACCCCACCCGCATGCGCACTCACCTCGCCTTGTCGAGGTCATGTGGCGCCACGGTGCCACCCACCGCCGCCTCGTACTCGTCGGCGGCGGCGCTGGCGGGCGCCAGGTGCGGCGGCGCCAGCCCCTCCTCGCCGTCCTCCACAAACATGGACAGCATGGCGTTGATGAACAGCTGGTTGCGGTAGATGCACTGACGTGCAGCCGCAATCTGCAGCGGCGGCGGCACGGCAGCAGCCGGGCGGCGGCGTCATCTTGCTGCGGGGTTGGTGGAAATGATGCCTTGATCATCCAAACATTGGAGCCGCGACCGCATCACCTTTTCAGGCAGCCGCGGCACCAGCGCCCTGTGCTGCGGGCTCAGCAGGCTCAGGTTGCGCTCCCAGCGCGCTACCTCAGGCTCCACGCCCGAGCGGTAGTGGCGCAGCGCATGTGCCACCCGGCCCAGGGCCTGGCGCTCCTCCTGATCAGCATCCATCTGCTTGTCGGCGTCGTTTGGGGGCATTGTCGGAAAAAGCTCCTCCAAGCAGCTGTGAGAGTGTGAGACTGATCGGAGGACCCAAGGCGTCCCGCAAGCTCCGAGCACCTGCCAGGAGGCGAGGGGCGCATGCAATATCAAGCCAGAAGCTCTAAGGCGCCCTGGCCAATCTTAGTGAGCTGGCCACCTTCCTCCTTCTTGCAGAGGCCTGTCGTTTGAGAAGCCAATGCACAAATTGCGCCAGACAGACTGCTGGCCTGCACCACTGTGAATTGTTTTCCGCTGCGGTAGGGCCTCAGCTGGCCACCTCCGACACAGTCACTGGCCTGCATACTGCAGGCAGGTGCCAGCCTTTCTGCATGCATGATGCGAGATTGCGGGCCGTCTGCCGCCGCTGCCACCTGCCGCCGCTGCTGCCTGCCGCCACTCGAGCGCCGCCGCCGCCCCTCTTCCCGCAGGCGTTGGATTAGGCAGCCTCGTATGGGCGCCTGGTTTTCCGGCCCGTACCACTTTGCACACGATGCATGGCAGGAGCTGACGGGGCATCCCTTTCGGGACGACGTGAGTGTGTGCACGCTGTTGCAGCATTGTGCCCCCGACCTCTCCTCACGCCTTGTGCACGCTTGCTGCTCGTGCGTGGCGCTGTTGCAGCCATTCACCGAGGCGGACTGGCAAGCGCACATCACCTGGCGCCGCTACATACCGGAGCCCTCGGTGAGTGGCGTGGCAGGCAAGCAGCTTTGGGGGAGAGAGTGGAAAGGGGATTGGTTTGCCTGCCCGCATGCACCGCCCGCTGCTGGTGCTGCTGCAGGTGTCTGGCATCGTCATCATCTCGCTGGCGCCGATATGGGGTTGGAGCGTGTTTGTCTCGGCTCTGGTTGGCCTGTATGCGACATATGCGGAGGTAGGACGGCCTCCCTTTTCGTCGGGTCGGTGAGCAGCCTCTGTGGTGCCCCCCGGCCACTCACGCCATGGCTGCCTGCTGCCTGCCTTCCCTGGTGCAGCCGGCGGGGTGGCCCAATTTGACCGGGCACTCTTCGCTGCTGACGCTGTTCACCCTGACCTCGTAAGCATGGCAGACACGCTGCCTGCCTGCATGGTGTTGGTGGCAGTCCAGCAGGAGAGCAGGGGTCGGTGTCTGGCACCCACCACGCTCCCCTGCACCACCTTCCCTCAGGTTTGCCCTGTCCCTGCTGATGCTGTTCAAGACCACCACCAGCTACAGCCGTTGGTGGGAGGCCCGCACGCTGTGGGGCAGCGGCTACATCACCGTGCGGTCCGTGCTGCGCCTGTGCCTCTCGTTTGTCGGCCGCAGCCGGCCGCAGCTTGTGCCGGCCCTCTACCGCTGGACCGCCGCCGTGCTGCCAGCGCTGGCCGCACACCTGCGCGGCAAGGAGCACTATTTCGACGATCACCTGACATCGGTGCTGCACCCGGCAGAGCTGCAGTGGCTGAAGGCTCGCGCCGGGCAGGGCATCCCGCCCATCGCGGCGCTGCAAGTGCTGTCGCGCCTGCTCGACCGTGCGGGGCTGCATGCCATGGAGCGGCAGCAGGTTGAGGGCCTGCTGAGCCAGCTGGACGTTGTCATTGGCGGCTGCGAGCGCATACGTGCCCAGCCCATCCCCTACGCTTGGAACAGGTGCGTTGCCCCAGCTTGCTCCTGGTGGCTGGCTGGCCCGGTGCGTGGGAGCCCAAACATCTGGATGGTTTTTTTTTACGTTTTCATTTCGAATGTAGTTCTATGTGTTTGCAGGCATACCCATCGCTTTATTTTATGTTACATAACTTTCTTACCCTTTGCCCTCTGGTCGTTGTACCACTGGGCTACGCTGCCCATCATGGCCATCTTCTCCTTCCTGCTGGCTGGCGTGGAGAACGTCGGTGAGCGGCGGGAGTGGCGCAGGAGGGGCAGCCCAGTTTGGAGCTTTTCAACGCAATGCCAACCATGCGCCCACCATCTTTCCTGCGCTCCGCTCAACCGCCGCCTGCAGGCGTGCAGATCGAGGAGCCCAACCGCGTGCTGCCCCTCAACCACATCTGCAGCGGCACGTGCCGCGCGCTGCGGCTGATGGTGCAGGACCGCCGGCCCTCCGCCGACATGGCCAGCTTTGCCGCCGGCGTCGCCAGCACGCACTTCTCCCCAGACCTGGCGGTGGACCTGGCGCCGCCCATCCAGCGGGCGGAGGCCAAGGAAAGGCTGGAGGTGCGGCCGGGCGCGGCGCCGGGCGCCAGCAGCGACTCCGGCGACAGCTGGGGGTATGCCAGCGATGCGGATGTGCAGCCGCGGCGCAGCAGACGAGGCGGCAGCCGGGGAGACGGCCACCGCGCAACCGCCTCGCAAGAGGCGACGATCGAGCTGGCGCTGCCGGGCGGTGCCACCCAGCGGCGGCCGCCAAGCGCCACCGCTGTGGGCACCCCTGCCATCCACGACGCCACAGGGCAATCACAGCCGTGATTGCCCTGTGGCGCTCAGCATCTGAACCACCCCGTTTCATTCTGCACTGCACCGCAGCCCTCGGTAACATTGCTTGCCTGCCCCGCTTCGTTACACGGAGCTGGATGGCGGGAAGGCGTGTCGGGGCAGGCCCCCACACACCCCACCACGCACCACTGCCAAGGGGCACGCCAAGGGCGTGGCAGCCAGTTGCTGGTCCTGGGCGCCAGCTTTGGGGTGGGTACCTCGGCGCCTAGGGCGGCGGGTCGCTGGGCGCCGAGGTGTCCTCCGCCTCCATGAACGCATACCTGCAGGGCAGCACAGCACGCTCGCAGCTGCCGTGAGTGCCAGCCTGTGCTGGGCGGACGCGGCATGCGCGGCACACGCGGCGCACTCGAACAAGAAGTCGGGGCGGGAGACGCGCGGGCACCAGCCGCTGTACACCGGCTGCAGGCTGGTGGCGGGGGTCACGTTGTGCCTGCGGCGGCGAGGCGCGGGGCCGGGCATCAGGCGCGCATCGGCCGGCGCACGAGCGCGGGGCAGCATGCACGGTTCAGAGCCCGGTACGCGCCGGCGCGTGGGTGGTGATGCTGGCACAGCGCTCACAGCAGGGCGTCAAAGTACACCAGCGGCCCCTGCTCATGCATCTCCGTCACCACCCGCGGCTGGCTCTGCCGCGCAAACCAGGCGTTGAACTGCAGCCGGGCAGCGCGGCAGCGAGGCCGCATGGGAGGGGTGAGCTCATGCGTGGACTCGGCGTTGCTCCCCCCTGGCCCCCACCCCATTAGCCCAGCCCACACCGGCCTGCTGCGCGCAGCGGCGGGCAGCGCGACCACGGCGCGGCCGCCTGCCTGCGTGTGGAAGCGCCAGCCCTGCCTCTTGAGCGCGTTGGCCCCAAACAGCTGCTGCCGGCTGTTCTGCTGGAAGTAGAAGTTGAAGAGCGAGGTCTCGGCGCTCAGCTTGCGCCACGTCTCCTCCCGCCGCAGGCTGGGGTGCACCTGCGGGCGGGCGCCAGGGGCGGCGGGGGAGGGGGCAGGGCCCGGCTCGAGGGGGGCAGGCCCGGCAGCTTTGCTAGCTTGCCTGCGTGCGCACACAGGCAGGGCTGCACAGCAGCGCAATGCAACCGTGAGACCGGCCTGGGTGCTGCCTGGCATGCGCACCATGTTGGGGAAGGAGGCGGGGGTGAGGACGGGGCGCTGCGCCGGGGCGGCGTCCCCCGCGCTGCTCACGGTGCCGCCTGGCAGCGCCCAGTCGGCGTCGCCCGCCTGAGGCCTGCACCACGGCGGCGGCAGGCATGGGCTGGAGGAGGTCGGGCTGGAGCCGGCAATGGAGGGGCTCAGGCCCTGGGACCCTAAAATGTCTCTTGCGCTGGCAGGCGGGCAGCAGGTGCGGCAGCAGCGGCGCCTTTCTTTCCACCTGTGCCCGACAGAGGCCTCCAGAGCCTGCAGGTCTGCCAGCGTGGGCACCCAGGGCAGCTGCGAGGTGCGGTGGGGGGCTGCCTCGCCGCCGCCGCCGCCGCCCTCGCCCCGCTGCGCCCCGGCGGCCGGCGCCAGGCCGCCCAGGTCGGCGCCTGCGGCAGCCGGGAGGCCAGCAGGCAGGCAGGGCGATGGGAGGCGGCGTGACCTCGCCAGCATGCCCCCAGGCAGGTCCCCAGCTGCCCACCGCCTCCCCTGCCCTGCCCAGCCCCGCACCATCCGCCGCCAGGCTCAGCACAGACTCAGCCCCCGTCTGCAGGTGGTTAAAGGAGAGAATGGTGGGTATGCGGCCCACAGCGCCGCCGCCGCCGCCGCCGCCGCGCCGCGGGGTGCCCTCGGCGGGCGCAGCTGCCGGGCCGTCGGCGCCCAGCTGCCGCCCCTCCGCCTCGCTGCCGCCGCCGCTGCCGCCGCTGTGCACGCTGCGGGGCGAGGCGTCGCCCGCGGCGGCGCCGGCGGCGGGGCCGGGGGAGGCTGCCGCTGCTGGCTCCACGCTGCGCAGGGGGCACAGGCGGCAGGCACCAGCGCGTGTCAGCACTTGCAAGATTGGCACCACCCGGCAGGAGAGCGCCGCACTGTTCCGTTGATGGATGGATGGCCAGGGCCGGTGCAGGGCATGTAGTGCAGGCATGGGGGGCTGCCCGCCTGCTGCCACATGCAGGCCCCACCCCACCCCACCCCACCCAAACCGCACCCGGCGCCTGCCGCCAGCCCGGCCGCGTCGCCGCCCAGCTCCCGCGCCGCCGCAAAGGGGCTACCCGCAGCGCTGATTCCGCGGGCCAGGGCTGCAAAGGGGGAGTGGCCGTTGAGGGAGGGAGCAGACGCCAGGGACACGGGCGGCAGGCTGGGGGGGACCCCCAGCACGTGCAGCGCGGGCGGCGGCGCCGCCGGCAGCAGTGGCGGCCGCGCCGGCGAGCCCGGCGCCGCTGCGAGCTGCGCAAGCATGAGCTGCGCCTGCTGCTGCGCCAGCTGCTGCGCCAGCTGCTCCGCCCGCTGCGCCTCCGCCGCCGCCAGCATCTGTTCGTTGAACGCGCCCATGCGGGCGGCAGAGGCGGGGACAGCGGGGCGGCGTCCTGCTGCTGCGCCTGCTGCGCCTGCTCCGGCTGCAACAGCTTCTCGGGAGCCGCAGGCGCGGCGCCGGGCGATGCCTCCTGTACCGCGGCCGGCGGTGTGGCGGCCGGCGGAGAGGTGCGGCCGGGGCTGGCGGGTGCCTGGCCTGCCGGGCCTGGCGGTGTGGCTGTCTCCGCCGCGCCCGCTGCCGCCTTGTGGAGGCCGGGAGGGGAGCCCACGCCGGTGCGGGGGCGCTGAGGGGCGGCTGGGGTGGCAGCGGCGCCCGCCTGCGGGGCAGGTGAGGGGTCGGGGTGGGTGGTGGCGCTTCCAAGTGTGTGCATCACATCCACACCACCCCAGAAGGGAGCTGCACTTCTGCGTGATTGAGGCATGTGTGGAGGGGCTAAGCAGGGCTGCACAACCCACCTCTGCTGCGGGCGCAGGCGTGTCGGGCCCCCCCGCCCCCCCCGCCTTGGTGGGCGATGCAGCCTTGCTCAAGCTGGCAACAGCCGCTTCCTTAAATGAGGCCGCGCGGCCGGCGGAGGTGGGGGTGCCGGACGCAGCGGGAGAGGCCGGGGGCGGCGGCAGGCCTGGCGGGGGAGGCAGGGCGGGCTTGCCGCCACCCTTGTCCTTTCCGCCGCCGCCGTCGCCTGCGCGAGGCAGGGCACGGCAGTTCTGGGGTCAAGGCTGGGTGCAGCAGGGCGCGCGGAGGAAGGCGAGGCGGTGCATGAGCCAGACACGGCCTCCTCTCCCTTGGCCCACCTCCTTTGCCCTTGCCGCCACCCTTGCCCTTGCCGCGCTTGCTCTTGCCGCCCTCCGGCGGCGCTTCCGCGGCCTCGCCCTCCCCCTCTGCACCGGCAAGGCCGTCAAACGGTGCACCGCGGTGGAGGCTTGCTTGTCCTTCCCACCCGGCCTCAAGCCAGCAAGCAAGGGCGTGCCGCTCTGTAAGGCGCCGCCCCAGGCGAGGCTTGCCTGGCTTGGCCTTGCCGGGCGGGCGCGGCGTGTGCGCGCTGATCTTTCCAATCGAGTCGTCGATATCCTTGAGGGGCAGCGGCTCGTACATGCCGTCATCGTCCAACAAAAACTCTGCAGGGCAGCAGGCAGGGCAGCGCCGTGAAACAGTGACGGCAAGCTCCAGCTGCCGGTGCTGGCTTGCATGCAGGTGGAGGATGGCCCAGCGCCAGGCAATGCGCGGCATGGGGGCGGCCGGCCTGCTGGCAGGCCGCCCACCCCCTCGCGCCCCCGCTTGCCTGCCTCTGTGCTGCTGGCCAGGTAGTAGTCAATACCGTCCCTCAGCGCCCCCTCCACCTCCTCGGGAGTCACCTGGTCGTTCTCCAGCAGGCGCAGGCACTGGCGGCGGCGCGGGGGGGCGGGGGCGGGCAGCGGGGCGTGGCGGGGCGGGGCACGTGTTTGCCGCAAGGCGCAGGTGCCCCAGCGGCGCCTGCCCACCAGCCAGGCGCCTCCACCGCCATGCCCACCTGCTCCAGGCGGGTGATGTGGTCCTGGTGGCGCTGCATGAAGCCCTCCAGCTCCACAACCCTGAGCCAGCGGCGGCGGCGGCGGCGAGCACATGAGGCAGCCCAGGGCACAAGAGTCGGGGCATGGCGGCCGGGCCCAGCTGCACGCACCTGTGCGGCTTTGTCTTGCCCTTCTGCGGCTGCAGCGCCTCGATGTCCGCCTCAAACTGCTCCACCTGCAGCAGCGCAGGGCAGGGCAGGAGCAGGGACAGGCGCGCGTGAGTGGGCAAGCAGGGAAGCCCGAGGGCCGCGGCGCCCTCGCCTGCTTGCCCTCCCGCCTCCCCGTGCATGCCCAGCCGCCCGCAACGGCCCCACCACCGCCCCGTGGGGCCCCACCTGCGTCTCCAGCTGCGCCACGGTGTCGCTCAGCCAGTCTGCGGTCTTGACCTTGGCCACCATGAGGGGGTCAGTGGAGTCGCGCATCAGGCCCTCGCTGCTGAACTGCTTGATCTTCAGCTCCTTCTCCAGCGCACGGAAGCGCTCCTGGGGGGCATGGGGAGTGGGGCGCATAGGGAGGGGGGCGGGCGCAGGGGCAGAGGGCAGGGCAGGGGGCGAGGCAGCGGGTGGCGCGACGGGCCCAAGGGAAGCCCGGGGGCGTGCCGTGCGGGCGGGGTGGCGGTTGTGCGTGTGTGCGGCGCCGGCGCTCACCATCTCCCGCTCCACCGCCCGCCGCGCCTCCACCAGCCGCGTGTCGTCAGCCAGCGCGCCCGTCGCCGCCCAGGTGCGCACCTGGGGGGTGCGGGCAAGGCAGGCAGGCAGGCAGGCAGGCGAGCGCCTCAATCCAAGCAGCGGCTGGCACGGCAGGTGGGCGGCAGCCCGGGCAGGCCCACCAGCCCGCACCTGCTCCCGCAGGCGCTGCAGCTTCTTCAACTCCTTCTTCATGTCCTGCACAATCTTGTCGCGCTGGCTGGCGTCCTGCAAGGGCCGGCAGGAGCCCAGGCCTTCAGGCCTTCTAACAAGGTGACGCATGGCGTGCGGCGGCGGCAGCTGCCGCTCCGGGCCCCGCCCCGCCCCGCCCCGGCCCCCTGCGCACCTCGGTCTCCTCGACCTTGTCCCACAGCCCATCCCACTCCGCCACGCCCTCATTGATGCGCTTCAGCGTGGCCTCGATCTCTGCAAGGGGCACGGCAAGGGTGCCCAAGGTTGCCTGGGCCCTACACCCGCGCTGTGCAGCTCTGAGGCAGCTCCTCAGCAGCCTGAGCGCCCACCCGACTGCAGCTTGCGTGCTTTGGACATGACTGCTCGGCCGGGTCGACTGCGTGCTCAACCCAGCCTCCCACACTGGCCTGCCCGGCCCAGAAGCCTTGGAGGATGCGTGCAGGAGCTGCCAAATGAATGGATGGAAGGCAGCAGAGGAGGTGGGCCATCAGCACGCCCTGCTTTCTTGCCGGCACGGGAAGAAAGGGAGGAATTGCTTCAGGCTCCTCTGCTTCGTCTGATTGACCTTGGACATACAAAATGAACTGGAAGCATGCCACCATTGTCCTCATGGGACCTGCCAATATGGCAGTGATGTCCACAGCGCTGGACGCAGCCCTGCGGCGCTGGGACTGCTAGACACGGCGGCACCGAGCCGCCCCCGCATGCGCAGCAGCGACGCAGCAGCGCCTCCAAGGCACCGTTGCAGGCGGGCAGGCAGCGCGCCGCCAGTTGCCATCGTGAACCCGCCTGAGCTCCTATTGGCAAATGCGATCGCATAACATAAATGACTAAGCTCCTACCGTGCTGTAACAATGCTCTCCCCAAGGCAAAATCGTTGTGCGGCGTTGCAGGGTGTTGCAGGGTCGCGCCGCCGCCGCACCCAGCCCACCCGCGGCTCAGCTGAGCGGCAGCGGCTTGAAGGTGTACTGCACCCCCTTGTCCTTCTCCACCGCCTGCCCCGTGCCGCGCATGAGGTAGCGGGTGGTCAGCAGGCCCTCCACGCCCACCGGGCCGCGGGCGTGGATGCGCGCCGTGCTGATGCCCACCTGCACCAAGCGCACAGCGAGGGGCGGGCGAGCGTGAAACAGCCGGTGCCGCAGCGTGCAGGCTCTGCTTGCTTTGTGCGCGGCCCCAGCCAGGCGGGGCAGCCCAGGCAAGGGGGGCGCACCTCCGCCCCCAGGCCGAAGCGGTAGCCATCGCTGAAGCGGGTGCTGGCGTTGTGGAACACGCATGCGCTGTCCACCCGCCGCAGGAAGTCGTCAGCCGCCGCCTGGTCCTCTGCACAGGCAGCGCGTGTGGGGTGGGTGGGAGGCGAGTGCGGCGGCTGGGTTGGGGCGCAGGCAGCGGGGTGAGGCAGCAAGGCAACACGGGGCGCACGTGCCAGCAAACCGCCGGCCCAGCGCAGGCCGGCCCAGGCGCAGCCAGCCAGCCAGCCAGCCAGCCAGCCAGCCAGGCTGCCCCTGCGCCGCCGCCCACCCGTGACGATGCACTCTGTGTGCCCGCTGCCGTGGGTGTGGATGTGGTCGATCGCCTCTCCCAGCCCCCCCACTAGCTCCACCGTCACATCCAGGCTGCTGTACTCGTGCCGCACAGAGGGGGCGGGCGGCAGGCCCAGCGCCGCCGCAGCACGCTCGCCGCCGTGCACGGTCACGCCTGCAGTGGGAGCAGGCGCCGGCGCCGGCGGTGGGGCGCACGGTGGCGGAGGGGCGCTGCCGGCAGGCGCGGCAGCGTGCGGCAGCATGCGGGGCGCCGGCCCGGATGCAGCAGGCGGGGAGGCGGCGGCGCTCAGGCGGGAGGCGGCGGCGCGCCCACCCGCATCCTGCAGCGCCTTGACAAGCGAGTTGAGCTGCTCCCCCACCAGGCTGTCGTGCACCAAGATCTTCTCCACTGCAGGGCCACAGGGTGGGGCGGGATGGCGGGGTGAGGGCCCGAGATGTTGCGGGGACCAGGCACACCCCTCACGCAGGCCTGGCAGCGTGGCCCGCCCCTCCTTTCGACCCGCTCGCCAGCCCCATCCCCGCCCTCCCCACCCCACCCCCCACCCGCCCATCACCTGCGTTGCATGCCGCCGGGTAGTCCACCTTTGCGTCCAGGCAGACGCGGCGCGCCTTGGCGGGGTCTGCCGCCGTGTCGACGTAGATGTGGCAGATGCCGTCGGCGTGGCCCAGCACCGGTATCTTGGTGTGCGCCTGGATGTAACTGACCTGCGGCAGAGGCGCGCAGGGGGAAGGGGGAGGGGGAGGCGGGCCGGCGGGCATGGCAGACATTGGCGGCGGCGGCATAGGGGGCAGGTCGGCGTGCACGCCGCGCTCTCCTTGCAGCCCGGCCCCGGTCAGGCATCTGCCGCTCCCTCCTGTGCCCTTCTCCCTGCCCCTCTTCCTGCCCCTCTGCTGGCCCGCCCTGGACGCATCCCCCGCAGCACGCCCCTTCCCACCCTGCCCCCCTCCCATCCTGCCGCGCCCCGCCGCCACCCCGCAGCCCACCAGCTGGTTGGAGCCGCGGGGAATGACCAGGTCTATGACGTCGTGCAGCTTCAGCAGCTCGTCAATCTCGTGGCGGCTGGTCACCAGGCCGATCAGGTCCCGCCCCACGCCGGGCGCCACCTCCGCCACCGCGTCCACAATCAGCTGGTGCAGCAGGGCGTTGGAGCGGGTGGCCTCCTTGCCGCCCTGCACAGCGGCGCAGGCGGGGGCTGGGGGTGGGTGGGTGAGGGGCAGGGGCAGGCCCACCACTGTGCAGCGAA